CTACAAGTTCTACTGTTCTACCAGCTAATGGATCATTTGGTGCTAAAATACAAATTTATGAGTCAAAAATGCATAAAGATACAATTTAAAATGGATTCTTTGCTGAGTTATCTGTTATAAATCAACCCAGCACTGGTTCAAGTCTAGAGTTCAGGAGCCTTTTTGTGCCTGAATGAGTCAAAACTTCAGGTTGAATGGATTAACACGTAAAATTCTTCTTTGGCAAAAAAAAAAAAGGGCAGTAAGATTTTAATTATTTATATCTCTTTTAGTAAACAGTAATCGTTGCATGAACCAGGAGAGCCAAGTATTCGACACAGCCTTTGGTCCAGGAGGCTGGTAAATGTAACCAGGGTCTGGGTCGGACCAGAACTGCTCTGAAGAGCTTTTATGGGACTGAAAACAATGTTTTCCAGCCGAACAACAATAAAAGGAACATTTTCTCAGGATGGCTCATCAGGACTGCAGTGTTACATTCCACACACTTAAAGCTGTGTGAAGAGACCGCACATTCCTGTACGAAGAAAACCAAATGTTTGAGATTTAATAAAAAAATAATGTTTGGAGGGGGACTCTTGATTTTATGAGCTGTGTTCAAGACCACCACTTTTTTATGACTGTTTTTAATTATGGCTTAAATTTACTGACATTCTTCAGGAGGACATTTTCTTGTCAAAATAAAACAATTAACCAGGGAATAAAATGAGTTTTTTTTTAAAGAGAAGCAAACATTTCTGTTGGTCTTCTGAAAGCCTCAGGATGGGACTGTTGTGGTCAGATCAGCCGTCATTAAAAGACCGTTACTCACAAGGATAACATTTTTCTTTTCACAATTTGTGGCAAATAGAGTCCAGAGAAGAGTGGGAGAGGACCAAGAAACGGGTTTGGAAAGTCCAAAACCCCAGAGAGAGAAACCACAGAAGAAGAACCACAAACTGTTGGTGGGTCTGATGTTCCCAGGCTTGATGGTGGGTTCACAAACACCAAAGATCTGCTGGTGGACCAGGATACTGGTCCTCCAAGACCAGGATAGTGGTTCTACAGGACCAGGATAGTGTCTCTACAGGACCAAGATAGTGTCTCTACAGGACCAGGATAGTGTCTCTACNGGACCAGGATAGTGGTCCTCCAAGACCAGGATAGTGGTTCTACAGGACCAGGATAGTGTCTCTGCAGGACCAGGATAAAGGCTCTACAGGACCAGGATAGTAGTCCTCCAGGACCAGGATATTGGTCCTCCAGGACCAGTATTGGACCCTCCTAGTTTAGAGTTTTGTAGGATGTGTTTTTGAGTGTTTCACTGGGTTATAGTTGGTAAAGCATTGTGTAATCTTTCCACTGAACCTGTTTGTGCGTTGTTGCCAGGTGTGTTTAGTTCTGTCCTGTGTGNTTTCTGGGCCAAAAACTTACAATTTTGGTTAGCAAGGGTCGAAAAATGCCAAAACCTAGAATGTTAGAATGTGGTGTGAAAACCTCCTTTACCACACTCGACTTTCCTGAAATATATCTTTTAAAGTGAAAACAAAGAACTAAACTCTTCTCTGTTAGTAAAACCATGAACCAGTTGACAGGTTTGAATAAAACTACAGGATTAGAAATAATTGTACATCTACAACTTTAGAGCCCAATTCAAGATGGCCGCCGCAGACAGACACAAACATGTGAGTCTGTCAGCTTCATGTTGAATTAAAGTTTGGTGTGGTAGTTGTTGAGACTGATCTCTAATGTGTTTAGGTTAAAGATCATATGAATCCATCATTAAATTAATTTCTTGTGATTTAGTGGTGTGTTCAGTTGTGTAAGCATCGTTTCTGTAACATTTCTCTCCTCCATGTTTTTGCTTCCCTCCGACCAGCTGTGTTATTTTGTGACTCGTCCACCGTGACCTCAGCTGTTCCACCTCTGACTCGTGTAAACTTTCACCTCGGAGACGAGTCTAAAAACACTAAAATTGTTTCTCTTACATCATCGTGTTTGCTTTGATTTTCACCAACATGACATTTGTATTCTCTCTGTTTCCTCTCAGTCTAAACTGGGGTTTCTGAACGTTGTTATTTGAGGTATAACTGTAGTGATGGAGACACACACAGCTAAACACAAAGTTAGCTGAATAATCACTAATATGCTGAACAAGAATCTTAGCTCAGCTAGCACTAAACTGCTAAACAGATCACAAAATTAGAGGAAGCTAATGCTAACAGCTAAGATGGTTAGCAGACTGACCAAACCTGTTGTTAATTTCTATTGGTTTATTTTGAATGTGGGTGGGATCATCTGTGGCAAATCGACAATCCAAACCAGTTATAGCTCTGTTTAACTTCCAGTTTAACCTTTTCAGAATAAAAGCATTTCTTTGCTTGAATTTGTATTTCTATAAAATTTTCTCTACCATATTTTATACAGTCAAATTTTATATTTAAATATTGTTAAATGTTATTTTATTTTTTGGACGCTCTTAGTTTGAAGCTTAGCTGCTAAAGATGCTAAATGCTGCACACACGACACGCCCAACACTGAGAGAGAATAGTTTTTGTTTATTTTGGGATAAACAACATTAGTTTTTACACTTTTAGTGAATATCTTAGTGGACTTGAAATTGGTGGAAGCTAATCTGTCCGCTAACGGTTCCCAAGGTTAGCAAGGAAGCTAATCCACTAAATGAAAAGCTATTTAGCGCGTTAGTAGAAATGTGCCCACCAGTGTTTTAAAAACTGGAAAACAGGGTTTATAGTTTGTAAGATGTGAAC